TATTGACATAATCTGTAAGGAGGTAACTCTTGTTCAGAAGTGGTAGTCAAAATGGAATCTGGAAATGTTTCAAAGTTAGAAATTATTCAATCTGTGTAAGATTAGGAAACTTAATGCAAGAAGGATGTTTCCAAGGAGCTGATCTCCTTTGGAATGCTCTGTAATGGTTGTTGTCAAGTCTTTTTGACTTTGTGCATAATCATTACAAGAGGATCAATGCATATAAGTTTAGAATCTAACAGATTTCAACAAATGGCATGAATTTGGAATTCTTGCATTTGCAGTAAGGATTTTGGATTGTGAAAAGAGGATCATTGGAGTTATGTTCAATTAATCTATTTCACAAAGTAAATATCATAGACAAACATAGTATGCATACTTGATGTATGGCATGACTAGTGTTTAGAAAACATAGTGTACATGCTTGGAGCATGGGACAACTATTGTTTTAAATTCAAGAATACAGTTGATAGCTGAAACAATATATAATGAATAATGTGTAATCATATGGTGATAAATAAAAGGTGTTTTATTTATGTTCATAGGTTTTGATACCATAGTGGATTCAATTATTATTGTGTTTCACTTTGCATGTTTTTAACTTCCAGAATAATAGGTCATTGTTTTGGATGACTAAGTTATTCAAACCATCCACAATCGGTCATATGTTGGAAGTAGATATGAATTAAGACTGTCATGGGTTGGCTTGTAGAGGTCTAAGATGTTGAACAAAGGGCTACAACACTCATGAGTGCTCATAAGTTCTGAGTATTGGATTCAACCTGCGCTCATTGGAATCACTTCATGGATTTTATCACGAGTGATCATGAGACGATAATATCTTGTATTCTTCAAACCTGGAGATATGAGTTGTTACTATGAGTTGGTTATACACTGATTGCACGAAAACGCATTGGTAACTCGATGTTATAAAACGTGCCTTTGTGTATGATTCAACAAGTAGTAGAACAAGCCATATGAGTCGAAGTTTATCCATTCCTTTTACCTTCGGGATAAAAGCGATATCTGTGGGCCCCTCAATGATTTGGTGATGACAAATGTAAGTGCTTGGCCGGGCCACAACTGATTTAATTTGTTCAATTAGTCAGTCGTCATAAATCAGAAATTGGGAAACAACAAATTGACAGAGAGAATGATTATAATCCATGTCTCGGTCCATATGATATCTAAGACTCGAGGAATATATGATCCCTTATCTAATGGACAAGTCATTGACAAAGGTCAGAGTTCATCTACAAGGTAAAAGTTCGACATAAGCTTTTGAGAGCTACGATTGCCAGTCGGTTCTTAAAGTCATACGCAATAATAGTTTTAGACTTATCCAAGTGAAAGATTGTTGGATTAATGTCCAATTCCATAACTATAATTGGTAAGACTTGACCCGACCCGACATGGTCAATTTGGGTTGCATGGCATCATGCATTTGGATAGACTATAATGAGAGAAATAACACTTAAGGTTTGTTAATATATTATAAGTTCTAATATATTAATAAGATTATTTAATTAGTATTGATCAAGAATTAATCTAGGATTAATTAAGTGATCAAAAGAAAACTAATTATATATATGGGTTGATTGTGTAAATCATCCATACTTGTATAGTGGGCTAATGCTTCATGGATTGTCAAGTTGGGCTAAAACCCATAAGATGCTCCATGGTGTATTTGAACCCATGGATCCAAGGAAATGGAAAGCCATGACAATTAGGGTTTACCCTAATTCTCACTAACTATATAAGCATCTTATTGTTGACAAAATCAGCCACTATGTGTGTGAAAATGAAGGGCTAGCCGATTTTTATGAAGTGTGGATTTCTCTCTAATCTATTCCAAATGTATTTGGTGTTGTGTGAACCATTTGAGGTGTCATACTTGGGGCACTAGGCACTTAAGCTTCATGAAGACATTCTACATCAAAGAGGTATGTAATTCTAACTTGATATATTCATAGAATCAATGTTATTATGCTAGTTAGGATGAATACCCTGGAAAGTTCATATTTGCATGTATAATAGAGAAAACATAGATCCAAAGTATTTAAGGTTGCATGTACACTTAGGAGTGTTAGAATGCTTAAAACCCAACAATAACCACCAATCTAACACTATCACACTTCTTAAATGAATTTTATAACCCTTATGGAGGGAATAATTTGTTAAACATAATTTGAGTTGACGTCTGGACTCATACCCTTCTCCAAGAATTGGTTTCATAACATTCCATTTGACATTCAAATCATGGATGGAATATTCAATTTGATATTCCTCACCGTCTTCTTCACTAGATTCTTTAGTGTCTTTTTCATCATCTACTTCACCATAACCGTTGGACTCAACTCGTGCATGCTCTCCTTTACCTCCTAATGGTTCGTCATTACTCTCTTCACACATAATGTTAAGAAACTCATCTCTACATCTTGAAGCTGACTTTCTTTTGAAAAAATCATCAAGTTGAACGTTGATGGTATCCGACTCAAATACTTCATTTATCGACAAAATCTTTGGAGGAACAAAGGCTTTCTTTGGATAAATCCAATGATTGTTGGAAATAAATGAGACGAGAATAAATAGGTTTTCTTTAAAGGAAAACCCTAAACAAATGAAATCAATGTAGAGACACCATTAAGATGCCACATATACATTTGTAACTAGTTAAATGAGGCTTACCGGATGAATGAGATTAAATTGTTAGGTTTATCCGGTTTATTGAATTTTTTTATTCAAAAAAAATAATAATAATAAAAAGACTTTTTTTAAAACTATCCTAAAATATTGAGATTTTACTGTAGAAATCTCCTACTTTGGTTTGGGAGGTCATTTTGGAAACACTCCTTTAATCGTTTGTAAGTTTAACTTGCATTTTAATTTTGATTTTGAACTTGCATGTAAATTTAGCTATGCTAGGAAAAAAAACTAATTCTGGTTTCATTGTTCAATTTTTGTCTTGTCTTTTATACAATTAATTTATATTGTTTAATGTTAGACACGTTTAATAATTTATATTGTTCGATTTTCACGTTTCATTTGCATAATACTCTTGAAATCTCAACTTGGTCCATGTTGGTCCCTTAAATTAAATTTGTTCTTGTATTATTATTTATTAATATATAGAATCCGAAATTGTTTTGTGAATTAAGATTAGTAACGAACATTGAATTGGTTCTAAAAAAAGATTTAACTTCGTTGTAAACGTGAATTTACTTGTTTTCATATCTCCAAGTTTGTTCTAAGAAATGTACATTCTTGGGAATGCAGTTGTCAAACTTCATCCAACTTATGCAACTTTTCAATTCATTCTTAGATTGAGTTAGTAAATAGTAATGTTATGTTTAGTTAAAGACCATGTTTTAACTAATACTTTAACAAGTTAGAAGATTGTACAACTTTTAGTATTTCATAGTACCAACCTATATTAAAAATCAATTAAACATTAAATCATCATTAAATTCTATTATTGATGGAATGAATGCTAACCAAACTTTACTGCTTATTATTTCTTTCAACTCATACTTTTAGTGCACGTTATTGAATGCTTTATCTTTTCATACATAAAACTCTCCCAATTTGTTTTAGAATTATTGGTTTAAGACTAGTACACTTTATGCAAAAAGCCATTTAACATTTGATCTATGTCTATAAGGACTCGACCCCCACTTATACTATTCTATACTATATACTATACTATATGTAGTAGTATTTCATTACATATTTTATACTTTGTCATCGGTTGTTGGTTTGACAACCCAACAAAGATGAATTTTCATTACCACATCTGAGTGATTATTTGCAATAATACTTGTCACTCTAACAATATGTGTGACTATTAATCACAATAGACATCACACATATGAAAGGGAAGTACTTGGGCACTATGCTACTTGAGGAGGAACTCATGGATATGATATGGTTAATTCCATTGATCTAGTTGGGTTTTCTCAAACATGTATAACGACATTGGTTCTCATCATCTACTCATGAATTTATAAATTGTAATACGCATTTTTGAATTTTCTTTTTGGGATCAGCCAAACATTTACAAACTATATAAAATTACTCATATGGAAAAAAGGGTCCAATTTTAACATTTACAAACATAATTTCACAATAGGATGTCACATATGGATCATAAACCATAAGAAGTACAACCATAATTTATAAACATAAATACAACCAATAACTATTTGGGTTGTTCCTTCTCAACAAAGGCTAATCCATCTTTACGTGTATCGAAGGACTATCCAAAAGATCATCATATTCACATATAACAACCAACTTATTATTATTATTATTAGCTCTTCCAAAAAAAACCCAATTTATAATGTGTACCTATCATAAATAACAACAAATAATTCACAAGACAAATATATGCCTTGCGAGACACACAAGATATAACAAAAATATTTACGTAAGTGACAAGACAATAGTCAATAAGAAGTGCATAAAGCATAACAAAATGCAACATTTTATAAAGGAGTTCGATCCGTGTGATGAACTGATCAACATGTATGATATTTTATGTATCCAATTCAATTTCCATATTTATGAGTCAATTCAATTCCTATACTAGTGGGAAAACATGTACCAATGTAAGTGGGACCTTTACTAACATGTAAGTGGGACAACATTGATGTCATTACCTCACATAAATACATTCAAAAATTACAATTGTATACGTAGATGTAAATTCATAAAATTTGGATCAAAAATAAGAAGTGAAAATATGGTGAGAAGGGTAAGAAACAATCAAACTTATCAGTCTACAAAAATGGTTAAGCCCCTACAAATTACGGTCTTTATATAAATTTTGTTGATAATCGTTTATAGATTTAGTATTTAAATTTTATAGATATATGATATATCATTATCCGAATCATACCATCAAACTTATCCGTTAACAAGAATTGAATTTTGTTCGCTGGATTTATCGTTTTAGCATATATACACAAATTAATAAGAATACTGAACAAATCAACAAATATCATATAATTATTTTATCTTATCTTATTTTTCAAGAATTAAATTCTCAGATTAATTGTTTTTCCAATAAAATACGAGAAAGATGGAATGCTAATCTCACCTACCAACAAATCCATCACTCCGTGCGATTGCTACTGTGGGGCCCATCATCACCGAGGCTTGACTTCACGTAAAATTTTACCAACAATAAGGGCATTTTAGTAATTTACCATCGACAAAAAACCGGGTAATTTCCGGGTGCAAAGAGGACACTCGGCCTCCGTCTCAATTTGTGTATGTGAATCCTTCAGCCTCCGTGCTGTTTGAGTCCCAGAGTCGTGACTGATCGGATTCTTCTTCGATCCGATCAACTGAAAATCTTTGGAACTCGTAACCTGCATTCTCGATCGATTGATTGTTTTTACTTGTTTTCGTCACATACACCAATTTTGATCGATTTGTTTCTGTTTTGATTCTGAATATCTATCTCTGATCAACTTTCCGGCGTAGAATCCTATTGTTTCGAGTCTAATTAGTAGCGATATTTGCTGAGAAGAATCAGGGATTTTAGGCTTGATTAAAAACCCTAATTTTAATGGCTTCAATAAACCTTCAGTCCAGAGACGGCGGCGGCGACGATAGTTCTAGGTCGCCGATACGTTCGCGTGGGGTTTCTTCACCATGGAGTAAGATCGTACGAGGAGACAGCGGGGAATTGCCTCTACCGGTAGTTTCTGTTACTCCTCCGACGGTATCGCCGTCGTTATCCATTCAGGAGCATATCGCTATCCCTTCCTCTGATTGCTCGCCGCCTAAGGCTGTAGCGGATTCGGCGAGCTCTCCGGATGATTCTGGCACCGAATGTCAGTCTGAGGGTTCTGGTAACGGTGGCGGCGGCGGCAGTAATGCGGTTAAGAAGCCGGTATGGAGTAAACCATCAAACGGTGTCGTTGAGGTCGTCAGTCCAGTTATGGGTGCAGTTTCCTGGCCTGCTTTAGGAGAGTCTACTAAGCCTTCCCCTAAATCGTCTTCATCGGAGTCCTTACAATCTCTTTCAGATGGGTCGTTGGTGCCTGCTCTACAGGTAATGGTACTATTATCCTGTTTAGTTTTCGCAATCATCGCTTAATCTTACAGATATCACAATCATGCAATTGTAGAGTAGTTCAATCTGTATTTTAACCTTACATCTAACATGTTACTATGTTTGTTACATCACAGGTGACTGGAAATCCACCCCCTTCATCACATAAACTAGCACTTCCTAATCATGTGAATCCCACTTCAACTCCAAACAATGTAGCACCTTCTGGACAGAGGTCCCTGAGGAGAGGTGGAGGGAATTCAGGTGCATATATATCATCAAATGGAGGGTTTTCTCAGCGTTCACCAGCAATCCAGGATCCAAAAGTTGAAGCTCCCCGTAATACAACTGGAAAACCTGCAAATGTTTCAATGGATTCTTATCCAAAGGACCAGAGAGGAAGCTTCGGATCACAACCAAACAGTGGTAATAATATCAATACTAATACTAATGATCATCACCATCAAAGGAATTCTTATAGAAGAGGCAATGGTGGACAACATCCACGTGGCAATCAGGAATGGAACCAACATAGAAGCTTCAACAACATGCAATCTCAGAGGGGTGGTTTCCGCAGGGGTTTTGTAAGACCCTCTGTACATTCTTCAACTCCATTTATCCCTCCACAAATGCACGTTCAAGTTCGCCCTTTTGGCAACAATTTCATGTACCCTGGTTAGTCTTCTTTTGCTAAAACCTTCCCCTTTACTTTTTTTGTTCATCTGGCATAATTGTTCATCTGTAGTGCCAGATATGGGCGCTGCTATGTTCTATGTTCAAGGTCCAACTCCACCAGATCCCCTCAGGTCTATACCACTGGTTTCACCAATGCAACCTCCAATCTACTTCCCTGTTCCTGATCCAGATTTGCACAAAAAGATAGAGAAACAAATCGAATACTATTTCAGGTTCTTCATTACTCAACTTTAAAACCTTTCTTTTGTTAGAAAAATTAACCTGGTTTCAAAAAGTTAACATACAGTGTTCTTTCTCTTTCTTTTAGTAATGAGAATTTGGTTAGAGATATATACTTGAGACAAAAGATGGATGATCAAGGCTGGGTTCCTGTTAATATAATAGCAAGCTTCAAGAAAGTAAGTATTCTTGAATATTATAAGAAGATATTAATTTTCTCTAAAACTTTTCATATGAATAGAAAATGATATTTTTTCTTATTGTATAGGTTTCGATTTTGACTGACAATGTTCAGCTAATTCTTGATGTAATGCGTACATCAAAAGCTGTGGAAGTCCAGGTGTGTAGAATGTAGTCTATTATCTATCATTATTTTTCTAATAAATTTTTTATTTTTTGAATCTGTTTAATAAATTTTCATAATTATATAAAAATATGTAGGGTGAGAAGATGAGGAGGAGAAATGAGTGGATGAAATGGGTGCTTCCAAGCTCAATAAATCAAGATTCATTGGCATCACAGCTTCGGGTGATTGGATTGGATGAGGTGGCAACAGCCAATCAGGTTCATATGGAAAAATTTTCTGGTCAACAAAGTCAACAACAAGGCACGGTGGCTTAAATTGAACCTCATCAGGTACTACACCATACACACACATGAGACAGAATAAGCGAGTTGGAGAGATGGTAAAACTAAATCATACTTTTTTTTTTGGTTCAAAAAAGAAAAAAAGAAAAAAAAAGAGAAGACCTCAATGATGATGCGGGCTATCTTGGATTTCCATGGTAGATTGAAATGATGTTTTGAGAGGCCAACATTAAACACATGAAAAAATAATAAAACCCAAAAAAAGGTAAAATAAAAAAGGAAAAAGGATAAAAAAAGTTGAATAAGACATGAAAAGATAAAAAAAAGGATAGATTTATGGTTGACTTTGGAGAATGATTTGTTGGATGTTATTATGACTTGTTTTTGTTTTTGGATCCATGAAAATTAGATACGATTTTTTTTTTTCTTTTTCGTGTGTATGTTGTGGTTGTTTTTTTTAGAAGTTGGTTGGTGGTGTTCCTCTTCTTTAGGTAGTATGATTTTCGTGATCTCATGAGCTCTTTGGCAAATATGGTAGTCGTCATGTGTTGACGTATAATCTCAAATATTAAGTAATATGAAAAGACTAATTTTACGTTTTTAAAAGTTGAAATTGATGTAGATGTCATGTCAAAGGAATTTGGAATAGTTAGAATGTAAATTCTAGTAAAAATTACATTTGGTTGACAAATTCAAAGGAATTGGTTTTAAAAAAAACAAAAATGTCATTATATTTGATTTTTAGTATAGCCTTGATTAATCGAATGAAAACAAATTATCATCATCTCTCTAACATTCCATCCCATAGAACCATACACACACTCATCAATTTCAAATGTTAAAGATGAGTGTGGCTTTGATATATGTGTGTTTCCTTGAATGATGCATTTGTGTTCTTCACTTGGTTGACATAAAATTCATTGATGAAGTCAATGTTTTAAAACCCGGGTTGACCCGGCCGGTTCAACCGGTTGGACCGTGACCCGGGGTAGAAGGCGGGTCAATTGAGACTGGTTTTTTGGAAAAATACGAACCGGATCGAACCGGCCGGGTTTCCTCTAAACTGCGGTTCAACCTTTTATGTCGAACCGGGTAAAACCGGATTGATCCGTTTTAATAGGGTTTGGATAATTGGAAACAAGTAGCGAACGCTAAAACAACGAGCCGTTTGCGGTTTTTTCAATGTTTTTAAATATTTAAACTTTGTGGATATTAAATTATTGGTTTTATATGTTTATGCATTATGTATGAAAGTAAAAATATATAAAAATAGAAAAAGACCATAAACCGGGTTGACTGGCGGTTCAACCGGTTAAATCGGTTGACCCGTGAACCGGTCATCATACCGGGTCAACCAAAAACCTGTGTTTTAAAACATTGGATGAAGTACAAGTGTTGCTATACTTATCAATCCTTGCCTTTGAAAGTTGTTATGATATTGATATGCAATTTAGTAGTTTATTTAGAACTACAAAGCTCATGCTCGAAGAGATGTATGATTTGATCAATGGTGAGGATTTTTGCTGGAAGAACGTAGTAAGTGTTCTAGTTCTTTGTTTAGTCCAAAGGGAAAGTGGCATAAAAAACCAAAAAAATCACACTTGTCCCAAGAATTATGGGCAAACAAAAAGTACCATTAATACATACCATTCATAATTGGGAAATCTATAGAAAAGTCCAATTATTTTAGGAAAATTGTTTATTAAGTTCCATTTTTTTAATAGAAAAGTCCAAGAAAATCATATTTGTCCCTAGAATTATCTTGCTGTCTTCAAGTCACCATACAAGGAAATAACATAGCAATTTAACACATTTGCCGCTTACACCATACACTATGCCTCTTACATTAGGCTACATCACATAATACTATCTATATAAGATGTCTGCTTGATATCTTGTACTTCAGATAAGCAACTCTCTATTCTTGATCTCTTGCAACTTCATCTCCTCCATCAAGGAACATCTAGAATATTCTTGCCTTTTGCTTCGGTGGTACATTCAACCTTGCTGCTTAGCTTTTCTTTGAGCAATCATTCCTGAGATGCCTTGTTTCTCCACATTTGTAACACATGCTTTGGGTATAGTTAATGGTGTGGTGACCAGTCTTCCCATAGTTGAATCAAGTCACCACATTTGGAACATATGCTTTGGGTGTAGTTAATAGCGTAGCGATAAGGGTTGTTGATCGAATTCCCATTGACCGAAAATGTTGATCGAGAACTTTGTTTGACTGAGATCGTTAACCGAACACAATGTCAAACCAAAAACTCTAATCTGAAACCATGTATGACCAAAAACTAGATGTTTGACCTAGTTGCTGACCGAGAACTCTAGTAGCCGTCGAAATCAATTTGACCTAGCCGAGAACTTAAGTGAGACGCCGAAATCACCCAGGCTAAACAGAAATTGATGATTCTGATCTCAATTTCCAAATAAACGAAGAACACAATGAACACTTATGAGCATCAAAAGTGATTTTTCACCAAAGGAGACCCAAAAACACCAAAAACACCAAAAACTTCAAAAAATTTATGGATTGTTTTGAAAACTGATTGATACCAAAACAACTTTAAGTCGTTTTTCAAGCTCTGATACCAATTGTAAAACCCCGATCTAGGTATCAATCTAAAACACGAGATTAGTGCAGAATCTTAATCAAGTGATAATCACAAAACAATAAATACGAATCAAGAACACAAACACGAATCTTCAATGCACATTATTATTGATTAACAGTCGAGTATATAAGATCAAACAGTTTCTCTCTAACTATTAATGCTCTCTAAATCTTTATCTGATAAAACCGAATGACTAACTGTATTCATGGTTGAAAATAACACATTATATAATAATACCTAGTTACTAAAGCCCAGCCCAATCGAAAACATTATTAAGTCCTGTGATTTCGGTCCAAGTACCACCGAGATCATAGTGATTTCGGTCCTAAATCAAGAACTCTAAAAGCCTTGAGAAGCAAAGTATAAACCACAAATTTATGTCCTGCGGAGAATGTATCCAAGAATACATTCGAGTCTCTGCAGTTTTGCATGACAAAAAGAACTGTCATGGCACCAGGGTGATCCACCCAACCAAAAAATAGATATCACTGAACATCCCGCCCAGGGTTTTGACATTCTTTTTGTCATACAAAACTGCAGAGACTCAAATGTATTCTTGGATACATTCTCAGGTAAGGAAGTAACGATATTGGCACCAGGGCGATGCACCTTGCAAGGGATGGTTATCGCAGAATGTCCCACCAAAGGGCCTTGATCTCGTGTCATGCTAAACTGTGGAAATATGTCTTCGGATTCATTTGTCATAGGAATGGTTTTGTGAGTTATTTCTGATTAACTCTCACTGGCACTAGAATGGTACACTCAACTGAGATTCAGAAACCATTAAACCTAACAATTTAATCTCATTTACCCAGTAAGCCTCATTTAACCAATTACAAATGCATGTGTGACATCTTAATGGTGATTGTACGTTGACTTCATTTGTTTAGGGATTTCCTATAAAGAAAACCCCTTTATTCCAGTCTTCTTTATTCCCTACAGTCCTTGGATTCATCCAAAGCAAAGCCGTTGTTCCTCCAAAGATTTTGTCGATAAATGAAATATTTGAGTCGGATACCATCGACATTCAACTTGATGATTTTTTCAAAAGAAAGCCAGTTTCAAGATGTAGAGACGAGTTTCTTAATGTTCTGTGTGAAGAGAGTGATGACGAACCATTAGGAGGTGAAGGAGAGCATGTATGAGTTGAGTCCAACGGTTATGGTGAAGTGGATGATGAGAAAGAGACTGAAGAATCTAGTGAAGAAGATAATGATGAAGATCAAATAGAATGTTCCATGATTTGAAGGTCAAATGGAATGTTATGAAACCAGTTCTTAGAGAAAGGTATGAGTCTAAACGTCAATCAAATTATGTTCAACAAATTATTCCATCTATAAGGGTTATAAAATTCGTTTTAAGAAGTGTGATAGTGTTGGACTAGAGTCTGTATGTGCAAATGATCTAGAAAAATGCACTTTTACAGTTCATGCTTCATGGATGAGTACTGAGAGATCATTCCTTGTGGAAAAGATTAATGATAGGCATATATGTGTTAAGAGTTTTAGTAGTTCAAGACTTATGAATCCAACTTTGTTAGCAAAGCAATTTGTGAAAGAACTAGCAAGGAAACCAAAGTTAAAATGTGAGGAAATGCAGACAATAATTCAAACTAAATTTCATTGTAAGGTCTCTTAGTCAAAGTGTTATAGGTCAAGGTGTAGGGTACTGCCCTTATTTCATGGAAAATTAAGTGACGATTATGCAAGAGTGTGGGATTAAGGACATGAACTGATGATGTCCAATCTAGGTAGCATAGTTAGGTTTTCTGTTAGCCTAAACCCTGATCATACTACAATTTTCATAGAATTTATATGTGTTTTAAATCAAGCAAAGAGGGGTGGAAGATAGGATGACATAGGGTTATAGGGTTGGATGGCTATTTTTAAAGGGACAATGCAAGGATGAGCTACTAATTGCAATTGGCAGAGATGTGAATAATCAAATTTACCCTATATCATGGGCTGTTGTTGAGGTTGAAAACAAGGTTAATTGGAAAATGGTTCTTGGAACTAGTTAGTGAAGATCTTTCATTGGATGTTGGTAGGGGATTATGTGTGATTAGTGATCAACACAAGGTAATGACAAGTTCCTTTATTTATATATCACTTATTATACTTGCTAATAACAGTTACTAATATACTTGTTCATGTACTAGAGTCTTATTAAAGCAGCAAAGGAAATACCCATGTAGAGCACAAACAATGTGTTAGACATATTTATGCCAATTTTAGGAAAGTGTAGAGTGGGATAGAATTCAGAAATATGTTTTGGGCAGCTGCAAAATCCACAATAAAAAGGGGCTTCAAGATAAACATGGAAAGGATCAAGACTTTAAGTGAAGGTGCTTATGATTATCTTCAAAGGGGTATAATAAAACTTCTTGCAAAAATCCAAAGGTTGTCTCTAAACCAATACCCAAAAAGAAAATAGGCAAGCCCATGTTGGATCCTTATTTAACTAACTGTATAGGATGTAGAAGAGGTGATAAAGGAAGAAACAGAGGTGGGGGTAGTAGATCTGGTGGAAGAAGTGATAGAGGTGCTGGTAGGGGATCGGGTGGAAGAACAAGAGAGGTGGTGCTATGAGATGTGATGGAAGAGTGAATACAAATTTTGGTGAGGGAATTTCTAAGTTTCTAAATGTTGAGAGTGAAAATGAAGTTACTCCTATTGTTGAAATGAGGTTAGAAATGTAGTGAGTCCTTAAGTGGTGAGTCCTGAAGTTGACAATGAAGTTAGAGTGGATGTAAAGAGTGATATTCAATTCATGAGAGAGTCAACTTACACTACAAAGGAGATTTTTGGTTGTCTTTGATTCAATGAAGCATAATTAAATGAATTTGAAGGTGTAAAACAAATACCTATGGAGATTGATATATCACAAGTATGCTTTATAATGTTTAATTTCCTTAACAATACTTTGTTATGGTTGTTACAGGCTTTGGGATTTCCTTATCAAATTACTATAGAAACAGTCTTTGAAAGTCAACCATCTGGAATTGAGGTGATGGATCAAGAGGGTATGGGTGAGGAGGACATGTATCAACATGATATGGGTGAGGAGGGCATGGATCAACATTATGACAAGCAGAGAGAAATTAATCATGTCAATTCCTACTCAACTACAAACTTAGGAGCATCCACTAATAATACATTTTTAGCTGTACCATCGCATCATG